TTTTTTTTCTACTTACATAAAGAACATATCTGTAGATTACCCACTAAAAGATTTGTCTGTAAACCGGACTTACGATGTGTAAAAATGAAGCAAAGCTCACTTGAGCTGGAAGCAGTCAATCTTCTTGCCGAAAATGTCTTATAATGCTAAGTCATTTCTTTTCATAGAATCGGAAATTGTGGCATGCAGCTTCGTTTTGCATACAGTAAAAGTTGATGAAGAAAGCGAAGTATGATCATGGTGAATAAGTATTATATTTTCTTCTTATATTCATGCAGAGCCCGGCTCATAACCCTCAAAAAATTTATTTTATGAAGTGAGCCCAAATATGTAGTCACCGCAGTTGCTGTTTACCAACAGCAGTGACCAGAAGAACTATAACGCTTTTGTCCGAGTTCCATTGCGATTAATAATGCGTTCATCAAAATTTGCTCCGCGTCCCATATATAGTTTGGAAAATAACAAAAGAAGCGCAAATGGTGCTATTTTCAGTGGTCTTGACCATACTGGTCCATCATGTATCTCCATCTCCTTTGACTGATGCTGAGGTAAGATAGTTATGTATCCATATGATTATGACACTATCAAACATTTTTAGGCCGAAAAAACCTTGATTTACCGCGACAGCCCAGATACTTTCGAGAATCGGAAAATTGTGAAATTTCTACTGCAATCGCTCCGCACGCGAAGTCGTAGGATACATCTTGGTAGAGGCATCACCCGTGAAAGGGTATGTTTAGAAATGCACTTTGTAGTACAGCTCTAGATTCTCCTTATAGCCACCGGAGATGCCCGATCTCGGACCAAAGAATAATATCTCTGCTCCATCAATCTCTGAAACTAATAAAGATGTTGCCGATTGGATGTTCCAAGGCGATATCTTACTCACTCCGCTTCAAGCTAGTTTACTAGTCAGTGAGCAGGACAAAGAAGAAGGTCAGGATGGTTTTATACTAAGCACCATCACTGCAGATCTACTTGGAACGCAGATGACTTTTTGGAGTTTTCACTGAAGTTTTAGAGCATGAGATGAGAATACAGTTGAAAGATGACATCACGAGATAGAAAGTTCTCCTTTGTGTTCCTGACTGCAGGGACCAGAAAATGAAAGTAATTTTGGTGATGGTAGCACCAGGAAGTGTTTCCTGAAGTGTTTCTGGTTAGAAACTGATAGAAGATACAAGAGAAATTTATGAACCTATCTTGACTACAGGGAAGGAAATAATAAAGCGGCCCATTTTCAGAGAATCAATCAGGAAATGGCACAGTTCGTGTCAAGAGATCATGTGAAACAAATTCAGCTTTGTACTGGAGTCCCAAGGTTTATATCAACTACACCATAGATAGCTCCTTAGGTCAGTTCTTTCACGTTCTGGGCACTTCACTTGTGTTCAGCTTTAGCCAAAATTTCGACAATTTTTTTGTTAATTGTTCCTAAAAATAGCAACTTCAGCTACAACTACAGCTAGTCTTATTCGACAAGCAGTCCAGTTTTGGCAATCTAATACATGCCTGAATTTTAGGGTAAGTGTGACGCTCCCTGCTTTCAGTCTTTTGAAAATTCAATGGGTTTAAAAACCATTTTTTAGGAAAACGCAAGTGGAAATCATCGTTTGCGATTTTACAGAGGCAGCGGTTGCTGGTCATATATCGGGAAACAAGCTTGGAGCAGTCAGGACATCTCTATTGGAAGCGGCTGCGAATATGTATACTTCTAGTTTCCCAAAACTCCAAATGAGAAGTTCTTACAGATCGGAATCATAGAACACGAAATGGGACATGCTCTAGGGTTTTACCATACGCAGTCGCGTTACGA